GAAGCATGAGTAGCTTTCATTACCTTGCGTGTAGTTCTGCATCCCTTCTGTGCATATCACCACTATGTTTAATTGCCCCAATGGCAGTTGTGATGATTCCTGGCTGCCCTTGTCTCCTGGAATAACTAGCTAAGATAAAATAAGGGAAAATCAAAATCTGGAGTGATTGAAAGTTTGGCAGCTAGAACTAAAGCACAGAGCTGCTGGAGGGGAAACCAGTTCCTACGGCTGCCTGCATATGTGTCATAACTGTCTCAATCCGAGTTTAAAAGGTAAAGACAACGAAACATACAGTTCAACACAAAAGCATTTTATAAATATATGATTTAAAATAGCTGTCATCCGATAATAGTGGACCCAGGCCAACCCACGTTTCATCTTTTTTGAAAGCGTTTCCCCTCCTTAGCCAAAATATGCAACTAAAGTATATCAATTATTATTTGTTGTTATTATGTGCTATCAGGTCACCTCTGACTTATGGTAACCCTATGGCTGATCTCCAGAATGTCCTTGTCCTCAGCCGCTCTGCTGAGTTCTTATAGACTCTGGCTCGTGGGTTCCTAGGGAGTCTGTCCATCTCATATTTGGTCCTCTTTTCCTGCTGCCGTCAACCTTTCCCGGCATTACTGTCTTTTCCAGAGAATCCTGCTTTCTCATGATATACACACATTAGGACATTATTATAATACTCATATTGCAATTCTCTTGTTTCTAAGAGATTGTGGGTTACGACCCTGCAAAGTAGCTGAGTGGTATATATACCAATTTTGCTAGTGGGAAGAGGATGCTAAAGGTCCTGCAGTGTAGAACTATTGCTCTTATCTGGGCATTCAGTGTTTGGCAAATGCACTGGGGCATGTCTGAGAAAAGGAAATTATGAAATATTTTCTGGGGGCAGTTCTCTTTATTAAGAGGGAGAGGGTTGTGACATATGCATAACTTTAAGAGACTCTGCAAGTTTTAATTTGGCTTTCCACTTGGGAGCTTGGGTAAACTTGGCCCACATATTAATCATGCCCAAAGGCTGCAACAGGTGAAAGTAGCTAGGGAAAAATAAGGGAAAGTTTCAGCTACTTCCTGCTCTAATTCCACAGGTGTAGTAGGTCACCAGAGGCCAAAAGCAGATGTTAGAGACAGCCCATGACTGGAGAAGTGAAATTCTTAACTAATGTGATCATATTTTCTCACCAATGGGATTGTGCACATTAGCCTGTTTTTATTTGGAGATAGATCTTTGAGATTTAAGCACATATTCCTTTGAATTCTCTTTTCACAAATACAGAAAGATTGCCACAATCATCCTTTGGCAACAGAATTTACTTTCAGTTCAAATTATGGGCTATCTCTAACCCCTGTCTGTGGCCAGAGAGAGCCATATTACAATGGATGCAACATAAAGCCTTCAATGCCAAGTCTGTATGAAGAGGTGGGTAGATGCACAAAAGCACATGCTGAAATAAAATTGTTAGTCCTAAAAAGTCTCACAATACTTTTACTTTTGCTAACATCTCACCTAGTCTTGCTTTTTTGACTGTCCCCACTTTTTGAATGCCATGCTTGACAAAGAGGTTATAATCATCAAAGTTTACATATTATTTTGTTTCTTTTGAAAAAAAAAAGATCTAATAGAAGTATCACCATGATATGGGATTTGTATCTTGTTTACTGGCCAGCACAAGTGTCTTGATGACCTGCAGATGGAAAGGCACTGTCTAAATTCCAAGTCTTCCCACTGAGTAACAGTTCAGAGATGCCAAATCTACCAAGTTCAGGAGAACCAGATTTTGCTGCTGGACAGTCATTTGATCTCTGATCTATCACATTTGAGAGATGTTTTCTGATGCTAACTAGAGCTCTTTTAAAAGGTGAAGCAAGATGTGCTGTATGCTGCTCCATGGCAAAAAGAGCATGAAGTTCAAAATTCAGGTAATGAAGATGCTCTTTTGAAAGCTAATGTAAAAACCAGCCAACGATAAGAAAAGCAAAGAGAATCATCAAGGACCCTGCAACTTTGGATCAGACATAGTCATACCTCCCCCTTCCTACAGATTCCATTGCTGCTACACTTTATAAAGTGTAGTTTATTAATGCTTCTAAAATTAAGAAAATAATTCTTGAACAAGCCATATGATGTTGTCAGTTTGAAGCCAGAAAATATCCAGCATGGCATTCAGAAGACTGCAGAACTGTTTTGTACGTGTGCACCTGTTCCATGCTCCTTTCCTTAATTTTCTTCTCTTCTCTCTCTAAGTAACATTTTGTTAAAAATAAATAAATAAAATCAATGATGTCTCTGGTGTCAAGCTTGATTGTAACTATCCTCTGCCACTGCTGCTATCAAAATCTCACAATTGTCTCCCACTCTATGTAAGATTCATCATGTCATGGAACTTAATTCATCCAACAAAGCCTACAAGCAAGGAAAATGCTCAAGTAGGTTGCAGGTGTATCTACTATGACTGTGAATTGCAACCACCTACCCCTGGATGACTTTACTTTCTCTACCACATGATGGGAAGCATTCCTGTGGACACCTGGGCCAGTGTTTCCTAAAGTGAGTTCCATTCAGCAATCCAGCCCACAGTAAGCACTCAGTATCACTGAAAGGACGTTTGTTTACAGGCAACAACGACAGTTCTTAATAATTTTATTGAATCCATTCAAAAAATATATATAGACATAACTATAGAGTGGGCATATATTGTCAAAGAATACAAAGTTCACACTTTTTAAAAACACAGTTTTGTTTTAGAGCCATAGATTAAAGAGTTCAGGATAGCTGTGCCTTTTGCAACAAAGATGATTTCTACCTTAAGGGACAAATCTGTAGGTAAGCATTTACACAGCTGTCTCTTTGATTAAGGATAAGCTTTCTCTATTATCTAAAAAAATAGAAGTACAGTATAACATTTGATAATTCTCTTTTTTCAAGGTCAGCCAGTCAGGATGATGGCAGGAAAAATACTTCAATACTTCTGGTTTTAAGAAATGTGCCAGGAACTTTATTTTGCAAGATATGCACTGAAATTAATGGGGCATAGGCAAGAAAAGGGACATATGTCCTGTAGATCGGTGGTCCTCAACCTTGGGCCCCCAGATGTTCTTGGACTTAAACTCCCAGAAATCCTAGCCAGCAGAGGTGGTGGTGAAGGCTTCTGGGAGTTGTAGTCCAAGAACATCTGGAGGCCCAAGGTTGGGGACCACTGCTGTAGATAATAAGCAAGGCCACCCCCACCATTAGACAGAGGGAGACTAAAACTTTGGGCAGTAGATCCTGGGGAAGCAGCAGTGGTAGCTGAACCCTCCAGTTGTTTTCTTTTGAGTCCTTTGGCCATTTTTCTATCTTGGAGGACAGAGCTGTCTGCGCTGCATAACCTGTTCTGAACCTCATCCCAGACCTGCTGCCTTCAGGGATGGTGGAAGACCCTATCCCACTTCCCAGATGGCAGTAAGGTTGAGCAGCCGGTCCACTCTCTATATGACATGGAGTGGGGTATTGTCTTATCTTTTGCCTCAGCCAGCAAAATACCGTGCACTGGCCCCTGGATACACATGTTTGCCGATCCAGGAACTTACTCCAAGTAGAAGGGCTTCGATTGCCTTTTCTGCAAGGAAGCAGATTTCTATATGTACATTTGCTGCTTCAGTGGAAGTAAAAGCAGATGCCCGTATGTGTCTAAGAGGCCTATGTACACTTTAAGAGCTCTGTACACGTGGCATTGCGTGACAAGGTGCTGGACTGAACTTTTTATTGTCCTTACCTTGTACTAACACAAGTGTGTACCTTGAGTGGCAAAACAACACTGGCCACATTTTTCTTTGTCCTCACCAGGACATGAGATCAAGCACTGCAGCTCAGCATTCAGTTTCTTCCAAAATCATCATCATCATCATCATCATCATCATCATCATCATCATCATCATCATCATCATCATCATCATCATCATCAAGTGGCACCTTTCAAAATGATACTTTTCCCCATTAATAAAATTTTGAAGCAAAATGAAGACCATGTGGGTTGAAGGATTAAATTTAGAGCTCTGAACAGGTCATTTTTTCCCCATTCGGGTTTAATATAAATAAGTACATAACGGCAATTAGGGACATAATATGCTCAGCCATGCAGGTTGTTAGAAGGAATGGGCATATTTCTTAAACCCCCCCAAAGGAGGGGTTGCTGCTGTTCTTTCTCTGATGACAGTCAATAGTGGATTTTTAAAGAATAAAATTTGGAGATTTTACTCAACATAGAAGTGTTGCTTTTGAGTGTAACTCCCAGAATTTCCTAGCTAAGTTCCTGATTTCTAAAACTGGGAGTTGTACGTCAGATATGTAACATTTCTATGCTCTAATCTTTTATAACAGGATTGGGAAAAGACCAGAATACCAAGTGGACGATGTACCACTTAAATTAAAAACAGGCAGACAGATGAGGGCATTGACTGTAATCTAGTAAAGCTCTCCATGCAAGTGGAAGAGAACCATGAACAGCTGTGTTCCCATCAAAGCAGCTTGCATTGATGGATAGAAACGCTGCTGTTCAGCTTACAGCGCAGCCAACCCTTCTGACCTTATGGTGGAAACATCAAGGAAACTATGACTTCCATGGTTCTCATGTGTTTTTCTGGAAGTTTACCTATGCTTTTTGAACAGAGGATAATTTAGGCTGACCGCAGAAAAAGCCAATATAAATACGTCTGCCATTTGGGAAAAACAAAATGGCTTTAGTGAGAAGCCAGAGTTCCAGGGCTACTGTAGCTTAACATTTACTACCAGCCTCCTGAAGCACACTGAGTGCTGCCAACAAGAGTGGATAAAGAGACCTTCATCTGTAGTTTGTTTAGCATGATGTGCAAACCTGGAACTCTGGCTCATCTCTTCCCCACAAGCCAGAGTCATAATCTAAGAATGAACATTGATGGCGTTGTCTTGGAGGAGAGATGACACAAGTCTCTGTAGTTTGTTTAGCATGATGTGCAAACGTGGAACTCTGGCCCATCTCTTCCCCACAAGCCAGAGTCATAAGCTAAGAATGAACATTGATGGCAGTGTCTTGGAGGAGAGATGACACAAGTCAAGAGATCTTGGACTGCACAACACACTAAACAAAACACAGCCAGGAAGGAGACAGCTTGGCCCCTATCACTTATAGGAGTCAAATGGGAGCAATCAAGCAGCATGCACCAGTACACTGGCCAATGTGTGACAATAAAGCAAGGTGTAAAGAGAGTTCAGAATTGCATTTTGCAGGATCTTATGGGTCAAATGTCCAATGCACCTTTAAAATACAAGACAGACAGACAGACAGGCAACTCATACGTTAATGATTTATCCAGACCAGCAATGGCTAAACCTTTGCCTTTTTGCCACTTTGATGCTCTTACCAGATTTTTCTTCATTCTGCTCCCTTTCTTTTTTAGTGTAAGAATGCAGCAGTGCTACATAGTGAGCACAGATTCATACGTTAGCCGAAGCCAACCCTTTCAAGGTTACAAGATGAGTAATTTTTTAAAAAAATCAGGTTTCAGATAAAGGTTGGACATTTTGTACTTTGGACAACGTCATAGGGATCTTTGATTCTCCAGGTGCTGGGGCTCTCGTGACTGGGTGTGCATGGGCTTTCATATCTGCTATTCTCTCTTTAAATTTTTGTTGCAAATACTTTTCTTCTTTGGAGTAGCTTTTAGCAAATGCTGACATAAGCAAACAGGCTGCCATCATGGTCCCTCCAATACAAAATAATGTTGCACCTGCCAACTTACATACGTCAAGGGCTCTATTAAACTGAACAGCATGTGTATCCACCACCACAAAATCTTCTACTCGGAGGGCTTCAATTTTGGGAGATACAAGAAAACCTACTATAAGAACTATTATCCCTGTCAGCATAAACACTGTCCCGGAGATGAGTCCGACCTAGAAAACAAACAAATTTCAGAAATCAACAGAGCTGAATATAATGGACTTGTTTCATTATTTCATTCTTAGCTACTAAATATATCTGACATGCCATTGACATCTGTCAACTCTCCTAGGAAACATGCAATTTTGTAAGTCCCTTGAGGCTTCCATCATGCAGAATTTGAGCAGACAGATGATTTTCATAACATTAACGATATCAGCAAGCAACTGATGGATACAACGAGCCTGCAGGGACTTGTGCAGAGCCTGGAACATGACATTTTTGGACTACAATACCTAGGATACTTCCTAAAAATAACATGCCAAATTCTGCATGTATATTAAAACAGAAAGCATGCATTGAGGTCAATAGGTTTGAAGTTGGAGAGGGGGGAGGTATCATAAAATATTGGCCTGGTGTGTTGCTTCATATTGCACCATTCATGGGTTTGCGTGCAAGGCACATAGTAAGATTCTGTAGTCTACTCTTTGATATGCTGAAGACAAAACTGCAGTAAATAAGAGGAATATAAGGCCATGCGTTACAATAATTTTCCTTGTCAGATCCCATAATAATTATAGGATGTCTGGGGAATTTTCATCCCTCAAGATGTTTTGGACATCAATTCCTAGAAGCCACCATCATCATTAGAAAAGGAATAGGGCAACTGTAGTCCCAAAATATCTGGAGGACAAAATGTGGTTGATATTTGAATGCAGGTTCATTCACCTTCTTTTCAGATAATGGTCTTTTTGACTTTGCATATGCACATTTGATTTTTATTTCAACAGCCACTCAAGGGCATGGAACCAGTGAACTGGTCAAAGAGGATGAGGTAGAATTTCTTTGCATGGGGAATTTCTTTCTAATACTCCACCAAAAGAAAATGTTGGATATACCAAGCCAAGACATGTTGGATATACCAAGCCAAGACATTTTAAAATGGCCAACATTTGGTCCATATCGTGCACATGTCCTGGCACTGAATGTTCCTTGACCCATGTTTTATAGATAAGAAGACATGTCTGTCTTGCTGAAAACCAGAAACATTTTGAATACATATTGATCCTATTCTAAACTGGATTCATATTTAGCAGAGCATTTATTTCTGAGTACCTGAAGAACATACTGAGAAACACATCATTCTGAGACCGATGAAATTTCACATCAGACATGTCTAAAATTGCACTCTTAAGTGATTCTTAAATTTGGGAGAGGGGGATCCATGTACGAATTTGTTGCATAGTTGTCCAACTATAAAATGTGGGATGTTCCATACCACAGCTTATTTACACAGATGAATAAGATCTGGTAGTTGTCCAACTATAAAATGTGGGATGTTCCATACCACAGCTTATTTACACAGATGAATAAGATCTGGTAGTTGTCCAACTATAAAATGTGGGATGTTCCATACCACAGCTTATTTACACAGATGAATAAGATCTGGTTTATTATACCTTAAGACCACATCCAGATCTTATCTACTTGAACGTCAACTGCAGCTTGAGCACTGTAGCCTTAAGGTGTTAGGGCCGTGTTTAATACAATCTTTACCTTTTTGGTATGTTAAAAATTAAAATACCAAGGAAGTCCAGTAAAGTTATTTTGAAGACATGCATGTGTGAGTAAGTGTTCAAATAATCAAAGACATAGTCCTCCCATAACATTGCACTATAACTTGAGAGAATAGTGCAATTATCTTTAATGGCAATCCATTACTCCAGATCAGTCCTTCACATAGACCTCTAGACTGGATTACAACTCCCACAATCACAGCTTGTATTTATGGAAGCTGCAGCCCAACAGATCTGAAGGTCACAAGAACAGGGAAGGCCTCAATATAGGAGGATAGGAGTGAAATAAATTCTACACTTAAAACATTGCATTTGAATTCCTAATGAGAAAGGTTATGATGAGTTGCCAAGTGAGGGCAATGACCAATTTCTCAATCCTTTGAGTTAATGCATTCTGAAATACAGGATTGCCTTTTGCCTAAGATTTCCTTAGACAATATGGTCTGGTTTTTTCCAGCATCTAACTGCACAAAGCACTGTCCATTCCAGAGATGGGAAAAGTTATCTTTGTCCATTAGAACTCCCAGAATATTCCAGCCAACATGGATAGCATGGCTGTCATGGCCAACGTGTTCTGGGATTGTAGTCCAAATAGCAACAGCAGCAGCAACAGCTGCAGCTTTCCTATTTAGACTGCTGCAAGAATAGTGCAGATGTGCAGAGCTTGTGACCACCAGAAATGGAGTCCATATAGGCACAAAAACATTTTTATTCTGCTGTCTACTTAGAAAAGCAAACCTAAAGGGAGTGGAGTGGACTCTCCAGTTATTGGAAGACTAACATACAAGGTTTTGGTGGAGCAGAATCGCTGCAAGCTTCTACAAGGTAGCTATACCTTCCAGAATACAGAGCTCCACCTGCTGGGTGATCTCTGAATCTGAAAATCGTCATCATACTCCCAAATGGATGTTGTGCAGTCTTCATAGAACTGGTGCAGGTAAGAGCGAACTCCATAACGCTGGTGGTAACCACTCTCGGTGGCCCCCTGTTGTGCTTGCTTGGATGCACAGATGTCAGCATATGCACTCATCCTTCTCACCTGCAATGAGAGAAACCAGATCATGGAGTCCCACCAACCTATGTTTTGACTTCCATAACAATCACAAAAATGAGTGAAAGTAACAATAACTTCCTGATAGAGAACAGACCCCCAACAAAGGAAAAATTCCCAGAAAAGATATTAACAGACTCATTTTCCATTGAAAATTCTCATTGACGCATGAACCCAAATGTCTCAAGTTATGTCCCTCCAGTTCCTTAAGTGCTCAATATGCTTTTCAACTCAGTGGCACTTTCAAGAAGCATCCTGGAAAGACAAGAGATTAATGCAGTTCAATTAGTGTTGATTGTTACTTATACTGAATATCTCTACGCACAAGTCACTTTTGGAGGAAAAAAGGTGCACTGGGTTCCCTGCCTCCAAATGATTTTTGTCAAGAGTTCACATTATAATGGTGGCGGCGGTGATTTGTATGTGTGAATGTGTGTGTCCATCATTTTCTATAATATACACATTCCAAAGTACTGGCCAAAAATGGGACTATGTACAAGATGCTATACTTTTAGGGACCAGGAATTACAGGGCTGAATATAATATGTTTATGCTGTTAGGAACCAGAAAAAAAGAGTCCAAGTTCCACCACTGAGCAAGAGTTGATTTGTTCACAAGAAGGACACTTATATGTTACAGGTAGAGATGGGGAAAAACCACAGTTTGGCACTTCAGCGCAGTTTGGTGCAGCGCCTGCACAGGTGTTCTGCGAGCGCTGCACATGTACCTCTCACACATCCTCTGCACAATTGCCCATTCCCTGGCTGAAGCGTGCATCCCTCCCTGCCTCCTCAGTGCAACTGATTGCAGCACATGTTTCCCTGCTCTGCCTCCTCCAATAGCCACCCACTCAAAAGCAGCACTACAGGCTTCCCTGTCTTGCTTTCTTGTATGAGTAGGTGGTTGCCAGAGGAGGTGAAGGAGGGAAGCATGGGCTGTGATCGGTGAGTGCGCAAATGTGCTGAGAAGGCAGGGGAGGGAAGCATGGAGAGGAGGCAAGAGAGGGGAGTGTGCAGAACTGGCAGGTGCTGTGCTGAACTGCTGAACTGTGGTTCATGCCCATTTCTAGTTACAGGCACTATGTTATTGTAGTTTTTCATTTATCATAAGCTGGTGGGTGGGTGGGACAGAAGATTGGGGAGAAAATGTGGCCCAAGTTACTATAGCATACCAAAAGGTCATGGATGGATAATTTATGTCAGAGTGGGCCGGCAAGAGACAGCACATAACCCTTGCAGAAGGCCATGAGGACTAAAAAACCCACCATTCTTAGTAATTCTCATGGCTATTCTGTGTCCCACTACTGCAGCAGAAGATGCTGTCCTGTCACTAGTGTTGAAACATGATTCAACCACCAATCCAGCTGGCTTTTGCATGTGGAGTGGGGGCAGGTGCCGTACTGCTTTTTGTCTTAGGAAGTAACATGTCCTAGGCCAGCCCTAGACAAAACAGGCAAATTATTGAGTTAGAGGGACCTATGACCTGACCATGTATAAGGCACTCTCTATATTCAATATTGAATGTGCAGCTTCTTTCACTCAGACAAGACAACAGAAATAGAACTATGGTCAGACAGAACCTGGGTTAAATGATGATACAGCAACAGCCATGATAGTTCAGAATTAGCATTTACAACAACAAGACACAATAATGATGGGAGTAGAAAGGACACTCGACTAGTAACAACTGGTTTACAGTGCAGAAACCTAAGGTATTCTGTCAGCCTTGGTACGTTTAAGAACTCAGAAAAACTATATCTCTGTAGTTGTCCACCAGAAGAAGGAGTTTTAAATAACTAGGATGGCTGACTGCAATGGCTATGGTTGCGCTTTCCAAAAAAGCATCTGAAGTGACATGGAGAAATCCACCCAATCTAGTCTGCAAACACAGAAAACTGGATGCACAATCACATTAGTTTTCCTGTGGCAGCCATATTATGTACACAGAACATCAACGCTGAAACAAAATTGGTGTCAGCTAAGGACAAAAATATTTATTTACTTTGCAAAAGCATGTCTTGGCGTACCTTAATTGGGGTTAGCAAGAATACAGGGCAATTTGCCAGTAAAATTAGCACACAACTGATCAATGGTTTTGACAGACACAACACTACCCCTATTAATCTTCCACTCAAATGGGACAATGTGTGAGTTACATACATTTTATAGTCTAGCATAGCATTCATGGAATGTTTATGTAGATAAGCGCTGCCATCATGGGTAACCTCATGTTTTTGAACAGCCCTCAGTCTGTACATTGAGCCTCCACCACCACGGCTGGCACCACATTTTCCCAATCTCTTGCATCCAGTCCTTTGCCACTACTTGTCATTTAAGTCAAGGGAAGGCCATAGCTCATGAATAAAGGGCATGATTTTCATACAGAAGGTCACAGGCTAATCTAATGGCTGGGCTGGCAAGGATGTCCGCCTTGGTGAACCAGTCCCCTCAGAGAAATAGATGTTGTGCAGCCTTTGGCTCACTTAGCTATGGCAGCTTCACTTATTCATAATTTTTCACCTTCATCAAGACCTTGACATGTCAGATCCTGGCAACTTTCTCCCCCTCTGTACTGTATGTTAGCAATTTTTGCAGCCTCCTCTACCAGCATCAGCAAGTCATCATCTTGAAGAATGCTTGCTGATATTCCCCATGGCCTCACAATACGGCAGTGGGAGCCAGAGAGTATGACCACTGGAACAGTTGTTTGGGTGACAGGCAAATTCTTATCCCTATTGTCAAGAAAGGGTACCACGTAATAACTAATGTATGTTGAACTAACTAGCTTACTTACCAGTAACTTAAATATGTAACATCAAGGTTCATAAAACATTACTTTTTAGACTACACTTTCTGAGAATTGTAATCTAAAAAGTGACTTTCCTAAATTGTGTACAACTCTTTCTCCTTCCCTCTCTGTTTTTGGCTGAATTCAGAAGCAGCGTTGCCCTAATGTATTGTAGCAGCACCGCAATACAACCTTTGTAATACAAAAAGGCACTGAGCGATTCCAACTGCTTATTTTTGCTGCATGGCCTGACTGTTCTTTCTTCCTGTTATGCATTTAGGAGAATTATATGTATAGGAACGTGGGAGTAAGATCAGCATCAGCACAGAATAAACGTACCTGACTCCCTAAAAATAGTCTGTGATTTCCTGTTATGGAACCAAGTGTATATCCTTTAAATCATTTTGATTTAAAGCTTCTGTTCCACAACTTCTGGTTTCTAAATTTAATTTCTTATAGCAGGTTTAACTTTAAGTCCCTTTCCCATTAGGCAGTTACAGCCACCAGCTACAAAGTCCAGCTCTGCATATATTACCTGTGATGGGGAAAAAAACCTCCAACCTTCTACTCAAATTATATAGAAATCAGCAGGACGTCATATGAAAATGGCAGAACCAGGCACAAACTACTGATGGTTTCATCACTATGACAACAGTCCCCAAATCCCTCAGATTATATTCCTCCAATGCTTTGGGTTGAAGTGCATTACATGTTTTTCCTACTGCTGTGAGGGATATTTTTTTTTTCCAGCTGAAAGACCTTGCACTTATATGAGCTTCTGGAATGTCCTCCCCGAGAAGGTTCTCCAGGAGCTGAAACTGTCGTTTTGTTCGTGTTCTGATGAAGACATATTATTCTTCCCACCCATGTACACACGTACACTTTAGAACAGAGACCTAGTTTATAGTAGGAAAGCTAGCTGGATAACTCAGTGGTTTAGGTATCTGGCTGTGGAGACAGAGGTTGGGTGTTCAACTTCTGGAATGTCCTCCCCGAGAAGGTTCTCCAGGAGCTGAAACTGTCGTTTTGTTCGTGTTCTGATGAAGACATATTATTCTTCCCACCCATGTACACACGTACACTTTAGAACAGAGACCTAGTTTATAGTAGGAAAGCTAGCTGGATAACTCAGTGGTTTAGGTATCTGGCTGTGGAGACAGAGGTTGCGTGTTCTACTCCCCACTGTGCCTCCTGGAACAAGAGCCAGCCTGTGTAATCGTGGGCAAACTGTACAGTCCCTGGGTGCCCAGGGTGCCCCCAGAAGAAAAGAATGGTCAACTATTTCTGAGTATGTTCTACCTAGTAAACCCAGAAAAGGTCGCCATAAGTCAGAATGGATCTGATGGCACATTATTGATCTGAAAAGAAAAGAAAAGGAAGGAAGGATTACATTTATCAGGAAATAACTGAGCAGAGTTGTCCTATTTGATGAACTGCAGTTGTGCCAGTTATAGGGTCTTCCTCCTGATGTAAAAAGGAGGGCTACCTTTACAACCTGAAGGCCAGTTGCAATGTCCTTACGAGATAAAGCTAATTCACCGGGAAGCAAGCAAGCAATTGATTCCAAAAGTTACATCATCCTGCTTGTAATACAACACTCAGTCCCTTGTCCTTCTTGCTGGACCTTTTGCACTGGCTAGATTGCTAAATTCAACATCCCATTCTCCCTCTATATAAAAATGTGGTGCTATTAATACTGCCAAAGAGTAGCATCACACAATCAACTGGCATTTAATGCATTCACAGCCAAATGTTTGAAGGGGCAGCCACGGACCCGGAAAGCTATTCAATGATCATCACCACCACACAGTGCCACACCTTTATCCTGCTAGGTATTTGCTGGGACAGCCAAATCATGGTGTGGTTCACATAGTACTGTGCCAGTAAACTGCTGGTGACAGGCCAACAACTGCTGTTACAGACTGATACTACCACCAGTTCATCCCGATTTGGAGCAACCCATGAGCTGGAAAAGTTACTTTCATAAATTACAACTCCCAGAATCTCCCAGCCAACATGGAGTGGTAGTTTGCAAAAGTTCTGGGCAATGCTCGCAATCACTTGTTGGGCCATATCAATTAGTCCTGAGCTGTATGTGCTGTGCATGCCAAAAAGCCTCTGCCTTTGCATCAAATCCTTCAAAATGAACATTGGTGGCAACTTGGAACCACACAGACTCACAAGGATTGACTTGATAAAACAGTTTGTACAGTTCAGTGCCCTGCAGCTCCTAGATGAGGCTGCCTAGTTTCCCAAGCCAAAACCCCCATTTATGTGTATGTCGTGTCCCATGGTTACCTCTTTCAATTGTGGTCACAATTGCATGGAAAGGTTACTATTTCTTAGTGTCTGTACCCCCCAAAAGGGGGGCATGTAACAACTTGGATGGGGAACTTTCCTGAACATCATCCCAACTATGAATCTGCCTTTTCCAACAATGATTTTATGTTCTATCTTACTTTTTGTTTATTCACCACCCACAACAATTTCTGCCACAACATTGGCAAAAATGTTGCAAACAAATATTAAAAGCAATGAATGAAAGAAGTGGCTGTATTTGCAACTGCAAGTGGGTTTTCTCTGAAACAAGCAAGGGGAAAGCACTTTCCAACATAAAATTTGCTAAGGGTTTCAGGCAACCACAATCTCCGTCAATTACTATCAGCCTTGTCAACACAGATGCATTACTGAGCCTGCTTAGAGTTATCAACTTGTGATAATACTTGTTTCTCTTATGCTCTGGAGCTAATATAGCCATAATTGTAAGTTCCACTAGTTCAGCTATAAGTTCCACCAAAACTGATCATTTGTGTGGGAAAAAGGAAGTAGAAAGATAAATCAAAGTGAAAATAACCCACAATTTTGAAAAAGACAGCATCACTGGGAAATATGAAGAGGACTCTGATATTGGCAGATGATAGATGATTACATTGAGTCTCATTTATATGAAAGTAAGTCTTTGCTCATTTCATTCTTGGAGGTGAGAATGAAAAATTTCAAAATGTTGGGTGACATTGTGAAAGGTTTTTTGCATTTGCCTATTTTTGCACAAAATTCATGGTAGTGGTTTTGGCACAGAAAAGCTTTCATTTTGTGAAGAAGATCTTGTATTTTGTGCAAAATGCAAGATTTTTAAAATACAAGATATTGTAGCTTGTTTTATTCAATCTCTGCCCTCAGATTTCTGCTGCTGCAAAAAGTGTTGGAGGTTTTTTCCCCCCCTCTCATGAAGAAGAAGAAAAAAAGTCTCATAGTAGTTGACCATTTTGTCAACTGGGGGCTTCAATATGAAGACACTCTTTTATGACAAGGATGAGAAAATCTCATTAAATCCTTAGTTACTTAAACGCAGTGCATGTTTCAATCACAGCTGCCATTGAACTTTCCCCAGTACAACAGATTTCTATCATGAATAAAATCATTAAGTAACAAAATGTACAATCCGATCTTTGGAACATGCAGCTGCATAGTAGGTAATCCCTTAGCAACTTCTGTTGCCATGGTAAAGGTTGCCTTGCATGGCTTTTGAGCATTATTACACTCCAACGGTACATTGCAGGTGTGATCAGATTTGTGAATAGAGAAATTAATTGTCAAGAACAGAGTTGCCAAAACTTTTTTTGAATGAATCTTTAATCTACTTCATCACTTTTTCATGAGCAACCAAGAAGAGCAAAACATAATGTGAACAGAATTAAGATAGAGATACAGTATTGGTTAACATTTAGTCCAAGGATAAGACATAAGAAAAATGGAAGGTCTTCCACATGGTAACCTTTTCATACTGGCATGCTTTCCTTTCTAATGTAGGATATTACTTTCTGGTTAGTGTTCAAATGTTAGTAGCATTTTAGTAATGCAGAATATTTATTAGTAACGCTGAACAGCCTTAGGAATGCTAAACTAGGATTGCAGGGATCTAGGTTCAGATTTTGTTTCAGCAATGAAATTGACTGCATTTCCATAGACCAGTCACAGTCTCTCTGCCTGCCCCACGTCATAGGGCTGTTAAGACAATAAAAATGGGGAAGAAGTAAAAAAAATCTATATGCCATCATGAGCTCCTTGGAGGGAAGAAGGGATATAAATGAAACATGGGCCTGAAGAAGAGGAAAATAAATTATAAAATATGTAGCAATGACTTCGTGTGTCTGAATTACTATTAATGTATATTATGTTCTGGGAAAAGTTTAAAATGTTTAGATGCACAAAAACCATTCAATAGATGTTGTTCTTGAAAAACCTATTATTTCTTATTTGATTACAAATATATATATGAAAATTACAATGAGTTTTATATTCTGTAAGTTCTAAGGAAATTTAAAGCTGATTATTCTAAACCATTTACGTTGTTACTGTGGGTTTGTCACTGTAATACCACTAACAGCATTTTTGTTACTCTTATCAAACAGCAGGTGTCCAGATCTCGATTACTAACATCACTCAAAGGAAAAAGATATTAAATGCAGATGTCATAGTATCTTGCATAGGTGCTCTTATCAAACAGCAGGTGTCCAGATCTCAATTACTAACATCGCTAGAGCACTCAAAGGAAAGAGACATTAAATGCAAATGTCATAGCATCTTGTATAAGTTGAGAAAGAACAATCTTTTTTCTTGGATTTTTTAAAACAAACAACAAGTGCAATTTCTTTTTAGCACAACAGAAACAGAGCAACAGGATGAAAAGGAAATGGTTTCCAAAATGGCAGGGCGTTGTTGTTATTGTCACCCTGAAAGAGGGGATACATGTCCCACAAGTGTTCACATCGAGGAATGGGGTTAAGGAAAACATAACTCCATAGGTCTTGAGGCCTCTCCTAGTGCGGTGTCTCTGTGTTTGCAAGTGGTCATACTCCATAGGTCTTGAGGCCTCTCCTAGTGTGTTTGCAAGTGGTCACTGGGATATTGGGGAGAAGGTGGGGAACAGGCTGCTTGTTGCTTCTCATGGCACTTACTGTTAATGGCTCAAGCCATATAGGCTACTATGTTCTACACAGCACTTGTCATCATAACAGGAGTGCCCAAGGCTAGACTTATGGATGGGCATGTTAGGCAGACGCCAAGTGCTGAACTGAGGGGGTGCCAAGCTGAAAGCGGCACCAAGCTGAACTAAGCATGGTGCTGAGCAGAACAGAAGGGAGCACCAAATTGAACCGAGGGACTCTGAGTTTTTATGTACTGTTTTCTATGAGCAAGGGCAGAAAAAAGCAAATGTTGTAATCTTTCTTGTCTTGTCTTGTCTTTCAGGGGAGAAAAAAAAGCAAATGTTGTAATCTTTCTTGTCTTGTCTTTCTTTTTTTTGCAGAGTTGTGCAGATTGTTTTAGGTACCACCTCCAAAAATGACCTTCCTTCAGTTTGCTTTGAAGGATATTTCCAGTTTGATTTCATTTCAGATTTCCGCCTTTATTTCATTTGTGCTAGGTAAACATTTGTACCCATATGCCTGGGTCACAGCAAGTGGAATCGGCAGGGCCCTCAGACTCACGCCAACCCCACATTTCATAAACCTTCTGTGTGGCTCTGTGAAGCAAACCATGGGTCCGGGTGAGAGTAAAGGCACTGATCAACCAGGATGCTATTCATCCTGCAGCACATGCTGGACATGCTGTTGGGTGGGTAGGTGGTAATCATGTTTTCCCAGCATGATATAGTTTATTGCTGAGGAAAAAAAGGATGGTAACATCAGCATAGCAGAACATGTATGTTCTTTGCTATACTTGTGGAGCTCCTGAGACAGAACTGGATAAGATTTTCCTTGCTCACTGTCTTTGATGCCGAACGTCTCTTCAGATATTCACTCCTGAAAGCATATCACAGGGCTTAGAAGCCACATTTTCAATTGTCTGTGTGGAAGCGTCTGCAACAACATTTGGCTGTAAACCATGCATTATTATGTTACCTACTTCCTCATCCTAACAAACCAAGATAGGAAACAAAAATACATATTAGATTTTATCTGATCCTCTAGGATCCAAGGTCCCCAGGCAGCTGGTGGGGTGAGCAGGCAAGCTGCCTCCTCTAAGGAGGGGTGGGTGGGCTCTCCTGTTCGGCCTAGAAGCTGCCACCCTTTTGGAAGAGGGTTTTTAAAAATGGCCAGACCTGTCTTCCTTGCATATCTCCTTGAGGAGGAACTAAAGCAATAGCCAAGAATTTCTATAGAGAACCTTTAAAAACACACACACACAATGCAGGATTCTTTTTTCAAAGGACAAAGCCAACTTCACGTTTAATTTTTGCCCGGGTGGTTGAAACCTAAGGATAACTGAAGAGGACATTCTCCTGCCGGCGGGTCTGCTCCACAGGACCAAGGTGGAACAGCCCCATCCAGGGTGTGGGGAGAG